CTTGCAGCGAGCACCCAAAGTTGGCCATTTCGAGTTCGACCACGTACATCCTGGTGAATATCGTCTCACCATTCTCTTCCACGAGAAAGATGCTGTTCTGGCCATGGATGGATGGTGCTGGTCTCCAGTGGACCAAAATACCCGAGAGGAGAGCACAAGTTCTCGCCTGATACGTGTTTCTCAAACCGATTTGACATGGAAGGAAGAACCGGCACTCAGTTTTATTCAGTCTGGATTCGCCTTACGTGTGCACTATGATTTGCCGACTGCAATTTTGCCCACTTCCCAACCGGATCTAATCTTGTCGTCCACAAGTGAAGAATTGTCCGAGGCACAAAACACTAGCAAGTCCGTTACCCAGTTGTATTGGAAACTGACGGAGCGTGCGACCAAGGTAAGTTGTTTTCGGTCATACACTGAATGGTAGCACCCGCCGTTTTTTTCACCGAGGGTGGATGCTAATTTAGTGGTGGTTGTGGTGCATTGCGAGTTTGATGGACGGGTATTGCTAGGGTGTCCAGTCACTAAACAGGGTTCTCAACCAAAGCCTTCAATTCTGAAGAACTTAGCCGCAAGGCAGCGGGTGAAGAGAAGTGGAGGCCCATTTACTTGAATCGATTACTCATCCATCATTTTTTACCTATTGAAACGCAAATACTATTCGAACCTCCAACCTGAAGGACCAGGAGAGTGGACTTCGTCTGACCTCTCTCCTTGGACCTTCCAGGCGCAAGCAACCACACCACATCAAGATGTAGTCTCGCCACACATCCTTGGTAGCTTCGTTTTCGTCAGACTCAGAACCACGCCCATAGCAGTTTTCCCTGTTCGGTTTCATGGCCGGACTCCGTGACTTAGTGTAAGTAATGAATGGAATAAAGCCAACGGTAGTCAAACTAAGATCTGGAATGAGGATATTAAAACCCTAATCAGGAGTCTGGGTCACATGGGTCGCGTTAGGCTCTCTGGCTGGGGACCTTGGCATGATCGTAACCGATGTTTAGCACACAGTGATATGGTTGGGTGTCGTAAATGGTGACGTTCGTGCATCTTCTCGGTTTTTCTGCAACATTAGTCCACCGAAATTCTAAATTTTGTATTCAACTCTACTTTCACCCCTCCTGTCTTCCTCCTCATGCTTCATCCAAATAGTCAGCCAAAAGATAGCAACCAAAACCGGCTCATGAAAGGGGATG